TGCAAGGCCATGATGCGTGCGGCTGCCCTCACCATCGGCTGGCCACCATTGTTCTTCAATCTCAACCCGGCGGACATGCATGCTGGCTGCGCTGTTGTAGCCTCTGGTCAGCTTATAGAGTTCGACGACGCCGGTCGTCCGACCCAGATCAGCAGCACGGTGGAAAAGTGGCGCCGCGTCAAAGAAGACCCGCACAGCTGCGCGGCACTGCTCATCGCCACAAAAGAGGTGTTGGTGGAGCAGTTGTTTGGCTTTGCACCTGGAGCAATGCGGCAGACTGACCCTAACTGCTTCTGTGGGGTCGTATTCGAGGTAGTCGTCAAGGTTGAACAGAGCGGGCGATTGGCGCTACACTTGCACGGAGTCGCACACCTCGAGTGCTTCGCACTGGACAACCTTCAGGTGTTATTCTGTGGACCCAACTGCCGAGCTCTGGCACTTGCATACGCGCTGTGCGAAATGTGGTACCCCTCCCCATACTATGCTCCGGCACCGGACAGCGGGACACAGCCTCTGGTCATGGGTATGTCTGATGCGGAAGTGCAGCAGCACGGTCTACCCGTGCCAGCAGTGCAGGCGGACTGCCCACCTGCAGCATACAACTTCGAACGACTGGCGGGGTGTGCAAACGGCGAACTGCCGCCTCCATCACGACATGCCGCCTGCCGTGCCCATCACGCTGCCGTCATACGCAGTACCCTCACCCACAGCCACAGTTCGACGTGCAAGCGGCATGGCTGCCGCGGTACCGATGACAGCTGCGGCATGGCCTTTCCCCGACTCATCCGCACAGCCTTTCAATGGATCGGTACCACCGGCCTATTCTTGCTGCCCCGCCTGGCACCCAACCTCGTGCCACACATGCCTGCCATTGCCCTCGCCTTCGGCTGCAACCATCTGATGTCCCTGGCCTGCGAAGTCGACCGGGAGTACACAGCTGACATCGCTGCCCAACTAGCGCGTCCTCCCAACGAACGCGGTGACTGCTCCCTCCTACAGCCCGCCATCGACCGTGCCCGTGACGCCGCGTACTACAGCTCTAAGTACACTGCAAAGACGATTGAACGCAGCCAGGCGCACCTCACATGCGCCGCCGTGGGCCGTGTACAGGACTTCATGATGGCAGGTCACCGACCCAGCGGCACCGGTGATGGACCCAGCACGTTCAGCAACCTGTGTACCGTGGTGCACCGCATGACGGCCACTATCACGGCTGGCATGGCACTGGTCGCCTTCAAACTGTCAGGCCACGATACGTTCCAAGCAACCTACAAACGCAACTACCTACCGATAGGTGCCTTCACTGCACTGGCGTCCGAATCCGCCGTAGAACCAGAAGATGCGGAAACTGGTGTGGAGCTTGTAGAGGCGGACGAGCATGGCGACTACACCCTCACCAGCATCGTACAGAACTACACGCAGCGTGGAGTGGAGCTGAGCGGCTTGGACTGCAGTGCCTACAGCATCGCATCCAACTTCGAGGTGAAACGTATAATGCCCGCGCAGCACCCCCATGCTGCCATCCTCAGTGCCCAAGTCCTCCCTGTACCTGGCCGCCGCAAGCGCAAAGCCCCTGGCGCCGCTATGACCCCTACTACTGACGCACCTCCCGCCCCATCTGGCACCCAGCCCACCGCCGCTATGGCGTCCCCTGTGCCAGCTGGCCCATCTGCAGAACAGCTGCCCACGAGCCCGACGTCGACCATACCTCCCAAGAATGTGGCCTTCCAACCAACGCACCCGCTGTATCTGACACACGTTCTTCATCGCCTGGCGCAGCCGAGGTACGTTCTGCTGGGCGGTGCGCTGCCCCGCCGCCCGCAAGCAGGCAGCACCACCGCAGCCGCCGTCGCCTACTACGCATTTGTCTTAGGCATCTTCAAGGCTCACCGCGGCCAACCGGTGGCTGCCGGTCAGACGGTGAAAGAGGTGTACGATGCATGGTGGATGGACCTGGGATCCACCGAGGCAGGCCGATCGTACAGAGCCTGTGTGAGTGTCCTGCTAGACAACATCGAAGCAGAGCACCTCGCCAGCGCCCGGCGCCAGGCCGACTACAACTTGCGACGCCGCCAGCGCCGCGCCGCTGCTGCAACTGCCGGTCTGGCCCCAGACAACAGTTCCAGCGACCCGGATGATGACGACCCGGAAGCTGCACGAGGCCGCCTCGAACCTGACCCCGCCACACAGCCGCCACAAGATGATCAGGTCGAACGGTATGACTTTGTACCAGGCCAAGGCGACCCGACGCTAGGAATCAACCTGTCCGATGTCGCCCTGACGGACCTGTATGACCGCACCACAGTGGAGGGCCTGTACGCATACGGTGCAGCTCGGCGTTGCCGTGTACTTCCTCTTCCCAATGCGCTCGGTGCCAACACCAACCCCTTCATCCGCCGTGTACGCACCACTGACATCCCGCTGCTGAGCGAGGCTTCCAAGCGCCTGAAGCGCTACCTAGTCGTCTCTGAAGGCACCGCCACCATGCCGACCACGACGGACCGCACCCCCCATCTTCGTTTGGATCGCCGCCCCGGCTACCCACTTGTAGCGGTCATCATGACCGACACCCAGCAAACCAACCATATCACAGCGGGAATGCCAACTTACCTACGTCTACCACAGCCACCGAGCATCGACGACACCATCGAGCTCTTTACCCTGGCGCCGGATCAGGCCGTACCATTCATGCTCATGGCACGTTATTTCGACCGCCGCAACGAACCTGATCCAGGCGTCCCGCCACAGATGCTCATCATGGGTCCTCCGGGCACGGGCAAGACTCAGTTCGTACACGCTCTACTGTGGTACACGTATCAGCATGACAGTCCCGACTGGGCCGCCACATGTGCATACTCCTGGGCTGCCGCAATCGCCTTCAACACCCCAGTACACCGCAGCCTATCGACCCACTCGATGTTCGGCATCTCAGCCAGTCAAAGCGGCTCCCGTGGCGCCAACCTTCCCAAGCGCGGCGCCCACGCCGGCCTTCAGGTCAAGCGCAATGTCGGTGATGGGGCTGTCCTCATCGACGAAATTGGCATGCAAAGCCACGAGCACCTCGGCGCCATCAGCCACTCCTGTACAGCCAACGTGCCGCCTCCACCACACCTTGGACCCGCCCATCCCAGCAGCCGTGTCTTGTCCGGTCGTGTTGCTGGCGGAATCGGCGACCTGCTGCAGCATCCTCAGCCAGGCGGGTCGCCGCCATACCGCTACGCCACCAACGTTGAACGAAACCCCCAGTTCAGTCCCTCGGCACCGTCAGCACAGTGCCGGCCGGCCTCGGCTGACGAACGTGGAGGTGACCATGCTGACGGCAGCAACAATGACAGCAGTGATGCAGATGACGACACCGACAACCGTCGCGCCACCACCTCCACACGTCGCACTCGTCGCCCCGTGCCACAAACGCACACCCACCTACACGACGGCTTCAACCTGTACCGTCAGCTCGGCGGCACCGTATTCATGCTGCAGAAACAGCAGCGGCAAGACAACAGCCCATCTGGCCAGCAGCTTACCCGCTTCACAACCATGTTCGGCGGCATTCAACCCACTGAAGCACGTGTTGCAGATCTAGTAGACGCACTCAACCAACGCGTCATCACGGATTTGTCCGATCTCACAGACCTCGAACCCCGTGTCGTGCTGCAACGGAACGAACCCAGGCACGCGCTCAACACACGCCTCCTGATGCTCCAGGCGCGCCGCANAGGAGCGCGTTTGGTCAGCTGGAACGCGGACCATGTCCCGGTTAGGCAACATGGCACAACCCAACAACAGCCACTCTCCCATGTC